AAAGAGGAAAGGGAGGGAGAGAAGGAGCAGAAGGAACGGAGTAGGAGCAGAAGGAACGGAGAGGGAAACAGTCACAGGGAGAGGGGCAGAAAGAGTGAGAGAGATTAATGAAAGTTCAGTTAGACTTACTTCAATGTTATGAATGATCTCTAAATTACAGACCCCAAAGAAGCGCTGCAGACACCTTAAATTAAACAGATGTAGCTGAACGTAATCAGACTAACACCACAAGGTTCGTAACTTGCTTTAAAGAAAACACTACCGGTGCCTCCTGCTAACAGCACATGCTATCAAATGCTATCATCAGCTGCAGCTAATCATTCAGTAACTGTTTCCAGCACTGCCCCGGGCGGTCCACCCGACTGAAACCCGGCAGAAGCACGAGGGCGGGCGTTGAGGGCGAGCCCAGAGTCGGGGCGCAGCCTTACCGAGGGGGTGCACTCGGGGCTGCCAGTCCTTCAGCACCTCGTGGAGCCACTGGGAGAAGCGGGTGTAGTAGGGGTCCGAGAAGATGTCATCCACGCGGCCGTTCTCGAACAGGTACTGCAGCACGGGGGGGGGGGGACAGGGCAGGCAGGCTGAGCGAGAGGGCTCCACTACCGCCACCGCAGAACCCAGCACAGGCGCCTCGCAGCGCGTGCGCTCGGCTCCGGAGGCAAGCAGCACTGAAAAAACGCTTCATTTTCTGACAAAGTCGTTAAACACACCTACGGGAGCTAGGGAGCGAGTCCATAATCGTCTGACTCACTTCTACCTCATGTTTTATCCTTATCTTTAATATCTTGTATTACTGTAAGAGATTAGTAGGGTTTTTTTTTTTTTTTAGAAGGGTTCTAGGGCCAAATCTGAATATACGCCAACTTGGCATCTCAGAATCCCTAACCCCGGTGTCGGCTGCAAGTCGTCCGCACGACAGCCCTGCTCGCAGCTGGGGGGAGCCGAGCCGAGCGAAGGTCAGTATGTGGGTGACCCCAGGCCACTGAAGGACCGCGGGCGTCGCCCATTAACCCGTTCAAAGCGAACCATTCCTTCAACACCCACCAGGGGGCAGCACGGCCCTGGAAGCTCTGAAGAGGCAGGCCTCCAGCCAGACCAGGGGTGTCCAGCTTGGCTCCTGGAAAGTTGGGCGTCTTTTGATTTTTGTTACAACCCGACTCACCGCAGACAATTCTTCAGGTTTCATTACTCGGAGCACTCGCTGCGTTAAACGTACAGCTTCCCGTAAGGCACCTGGGTGTGAACCGGGCTGCAAATATTACAAGCACCCAGGTAAATAAAAAATTAGACCCCCTGTGTAACAGAGAGCTTGGGTGCAACAAACACCGGAAGACACCCCTGGAATCGTACTTGGACACCCCTGAACTAGATTCTGGATTGGGGGGGCCCCAGTGCGTCAACAGTGAGGGGAGAACATGGACATTTGACAGCTCTGAGAGCTGCG